GTGTTGATGTGGATTTCTCTAATAACTGCTTCTGTGCATGGCTCTTCCCAGAAAAAGTCTGACCACCATGCCAGGGATGGGGAGATTGAAGAGCCTACCCCAGGCAGGGCAGGGAACTGCCCTAACAGCAAGGCTTCCATCTATTTCTTCCAAGACAGAAAAAAAGGAGCCACTTTTGATAATAGATTCAGAAGCCAAATAAATGCAAAATTTAAAAGTATTAGGTGAGGTTTTAAAAGAACAATAGCTCCGTAAACTTCTCAAACGCAGCCCTGCTTCCTCAACACCCCTGCGCCGGCCTCTCTCCCCTGAGCTATGCAACAGCACCTTCTCCCTGGACTCCCAGCACCCAAGCAGCCCCTTCATTTCACCCTCCCACCAGCCACCAGAGTGCCCCAAAGAGAACCCTCAACTCCTCCTACCTGGAGGGGAAGAAGGCTGACAGGCCCAAAGCAGTAACATGTGCACAAGAAGCTGCTCGTTCCACCCCAGGACCAAAATAAAATGCTATTTGGCAACAATGAGAAATCTAGTCTGGCTAGGCCCTCACCAAAAAACAGGCATCCACAGCACCAGAGAAAAAACTGTGATGTAAGCATTCAGTTCCCACAGGCCAACGGGCTTGCTGGGGGTTTCTGCTGAGGCCTCAGCTGCTGCCTCTCCAGGAAATCCCAAATCCTTTTCCATTTGCCAGCTGCCAGGGCGCTGATGGGCAGCTCTCAGAGCTGCTCGGTACCTTCCCATCCTGGGTAGGGCTTTGTCTTTCTAGGGTGGCTTCCTCTGGTCCTATTCCACCTAGGCTGCTCACGTACGCAGTCCTTTTTCCCAGGTGTTGGCCTTGGATCCCCTGGGCTCTCCCACAGGTGGGACTGGGTTATAATATACCCACTCACGGGGAATACAGCAACCCGTCCCTGGTTATGCTGCAAGGGTCATTTATATGTCGCTTTATTTGCGTTCCCTCTTGATTTATACAGTTTGTCTGAGACGTTGTGGAACAATTCAGATTTACATGAACTCCTGGGATTTCCAATTCACTCCTGCAGGATATGTTTGCTAGATATACAGTCTAAGGTGAAAGTTACACTCTTCCAACACATTGAACATATCCTCCTCTACTTTCATTGAGAAACATTTTCTCAGATAAACAGCCATTCTTAGACAATTATCTTTTCTTCTAATTGCTTTAGTTTAATTAAATTTACTGCAATGCGTTTAAGTATAGTTTTGTTTTTGTTAATACTCCTCATGAGGATTCACTGACCTCTTGAATCTGTGGTGTACTTTAGTTGGTTTAGGAAAACCTCAGTCATTCTCTCTCTTCTCCTGTGACTCCAAATAGATACACATGAGGCTTTCTAACCAAATCCTCTGTATCTCTTACTTTCTACATTTTTATATTAACTCTCCAGGTTTTACTATGACTGTTTCCTTCCAATCCATCTTCTAGTTCACTGGTGTCCTCTTCAGCACTGTCTAATTTGTTAAACTTGTCCACTAAATTATTGATTTTGGTTATTACATTTTTCAGTTCCAGAAGTCCTAGTTGGTCATTTTTCAAATTTCTTATGCAAAATCGTACAGACATTCTCAAGCTTCTGTTCTTTCTTCATATATATAGTAAGGAGACTAGTTTTATGGTATGTGCCCAAGAATTACAAAAGCTCAACGTTTTGTGGGCCTGTTTCTGTCATCTTTTTTGTTCTCACGTAAGAAGTCTTGAATGTATGATAGCCTTTGACTGTGTGTAGGTCATTTTATTTTTAAAAAGTGTTTCGGGGTTTTTTTAAAAAAATTACAATTTGAGTTGTAACTTCCTCCAGAAAAGATTTTGTTTGCTTCTCACCAGCATTCTGGAGAACTCCAGTAGAGAATCACCATAAGTGAGGTTCAAACAACCCTGGGCCTCCCAGGTTGGAACCTAGATGACAAGATTTTGAGGGCTGTATCACTTCCACCTCACCCTCCCGTGTCACTATTCTGGGTCTCAGAAACCATATGTGCATTTCTCAGATTCCTTATCCTGACTCAATGGGTTAGACCCATGCACTACATGATGTAAGTTCTTTTGGGCTGACTGGCTGCACTATGGACTGCATGGTAACCTGTGACCTGTGCGTGTATCTTCAGATGAGTTCCTGGAACTAGAAAGTCTGAAGTAACCGGAAAACTTCAAAAGGAGAAGAATGACCAACCCCTGCTGTGCCTAATTAACTTTGAGACATTCTTCTGTTGTTCCTTATTCCCGCCTCAACTGATAACGCAATGGACTTTGTAACTGACCTTGCTCAACTGACAGGTCAACCTCCTGACTCCAGACCCTCCGCCCCCGACCCGGCTTGCAAAAACCGCCCTCAACTGAAACTTCTGTAACTTTCCATTGCCTACCCCAAACCTATAAAACCAACTCCTATCCCACTGCCCTCCAATGACTCCTTTTCAGACTCAGCCCACCCGCACCCAGGTGAGTAAACAGCCATGTTGCTCAGACAAAGCCTGTCTGGGGGCTGGTCGGGGGGGGGATCTCTTCATTCAGAGTGTGTTTTAACACATGAGGCACTCGGACTACAACTAGCTTTGGGGTGGCTTCTTCTGCATCAGGAAACACACCCAGAGCGACGGTGGCTTTAGTGCTGGCCACTAGCTAGGTCCTAGCACCACTCTGGCCCAGGAAGCCTCATTTTGTAGACAGCAGCTCAATGTTTTTAAATCACTTGTTTTCCTTTCCTTTCCTTTTTTTTTTTGGCTTTTTGCTTTGTTTGTTGGCTTTAAAACAAGAAATGTTACATAGTGGGAAATGTGGTTGAAATCATCTAGCCTGCCAGGACTAAAAATGCACGTTCCTCTTACTCTCACCTCTTTCTTTAATTCCAAATTCAGTGGCTTCGATCAGCATCTCTGATTCCGTAGGAGGTCATACGATTTCTGTCCCGAAGGCTACAGGGGATTCCCGGGGAGCTTCCCATCCTCGGGCTTGCCCCTCTCTTTACCCCCGCCCAGCACACACCCTGGAAGGCTGCTGCCCATCCTCCTTCCACATGGCTCCGTGACAGACGCAGCCCTCTCTCTTCGGTCTCAGCGCCTTCATGTTGCCATGGTAGACGTTTACGAAAGGCTGAGGGATGACAGGGAAGGGTTACAGCACTACTCAAGACGGGAAGAAACCGCTCACAAGTGCTTTTCAGACATTCTTTCACAACTCCTTACCACAAGAAGACGAGAGAAGCGGTCCCTCTTCCAGTCTGCCCTCTCACCCGCGCTGGGCTTCCCTCCATCCCCAAGGCCTCCTCCTCCTGCAGCTCTCTGCTCTCTCCTGACGAGCCCTTACCCTCAGGCCACCATGACTGAAACTTCAACTTGACTTTGCAGAGCAATTAAGCTCTTTTCTGAATTATTCCCACCTGGGCAATGTCCTCAAAACCTCTCCATTCTTACAGGCAAGTCCATGAGGATGTCTTCCTTCACTGAATTATCAAAATGTTCTGAAATAAATGTTGTCCTTCTCTTCAAATGTAGAAAGGAGAGGCTTCCTTTTTTTTTGTAAAGCAATTTTTTCTTCCTCTCCCCTTAATAAAATCTTTATAGTCCCTGCAAAAGTTTCGACCCACAAATCCTTTCTCTATGAGGCAAGGGATGAAATAAAGAGGGACCTCCGAGAAAACATAAAATACGCCTTCCAAGAGACACAGCGGAAGGGAAGAACCTGCTAGGAACGTGTAACTCACATCCACCGCAAATCGTATTTCAAAGAACGAAACGAGGCTGGGGAACACTCGTGGAGGTGCTGCTAGGAAAAGGAATCCATCCATACCCAAACACGGCCTCGCGTGGGGCACACGATGGGCGTACGCGAGCGCCCTTACAGTGGCAGACGGAGTATTTTTAACAGGTGATAGGCTAAAGAGCAGTGAGATGTCACGCCGAAAGTATTATCAGAAGAACTGCCCGAAACTTCATAATATGGAAATCAGGTAATAACCATTAGACACAGAGTTAAGAATCGGATTCAATTAAGGAAGAAAATGGGGTCTGTCATTTGTAGGACTCCACTTCAGAATATCATTCAGCAATTTCCCAGGCCGAGTGCCTTCCCCGAGATCACTGTTACGGCCTTCCACGCTGAGGGCGCAGTGAGGGGAAAAGGCATGGTGACGCACAATGCTGAGCGGGCAGAGCACTGCAAGGCACATGGCCAGGGCTAAGTTTTCACAAAGTGCAATTTCTCTCCACATTTTGTGAAAGAATCTGCCAAGCTCACACGGGACCCTTTGTGAGAGACTGTGTCTCTTTCATACCTCATCACCACCCAGCTGGTATCACAAATCTATGCCTGGTTCTGCTTGGCATCACTTTGTTAATGCTCTGTTCATTAATTTAACAAACCATCAGGAGAATATGCCTGGAATGGGCAGGCATTATCTCTCAACTTCCATTTAATTAAACTCTGCTATTGTAAGGTGACAGTCAGCACATCGCAGGGGGAATTATTCTAAAGATGGAGGTAAAAAGTATTTCAAAGCCCCCACTTAAACATGGAAGCATAATCTAAAATTGCCCAAGCACCCACACTATAATTTTTCTATAATATTAAAGATGTTATTTGCAGACTTGGTAATCAACTGGATTCCGTGGAGAAATTATTCTAGCATCCTTGATGGAAAAATGATGCACGGAGGCAGGGAACAGAGTGCCGAAGGACCACCATAAACAATCACATGTCACCCGGATTACAACAGTCACCAGGCTTATTCAGGACACAGGGCTGCCTGCTTCGGGTACACACTCCCTGCTCGGCTGCAAAGTGAACAGACTGAATTGTGATGATATCGCCTTAATAAGAAGAAATGAGAGCAGCTCACACTTCAGCCACTGCCTCAGAAGGATGCCCATGAGGGACCCTGAGCCGGCCAGAGTGGATGGGGACGGCACCCTGCCCCGCCAAGGGCTGGGAGCCACCACCCCCCGCCCAGAGAGAGGGGCTGTGTGGGACGCTGGCTTACCATCGATCCGGCTCACGAGTTCTTCTAACATTTTCACTTTCATTTGAATCCCGGGCTGGGCAAAGGTGTAGTTGTCCTAAGGAAAAAATAATAATGCGTATCATATGCACATAAAATAAAACACACTTTCCAAAAGGGAAAAAGGCAGCTTGGACCAAGTGAACAGCTTTATAATCGGACGAATCCACAGAGATTTTATCTTGAGAAACAGATCGGTGGACGCACACAGCCCACTCCAGGCACTACTGAATGCTATTTCGAGAAGGGAAAGCCCAGCATCTCCTGATGTCAGGTGATGAGCACGCACATCGCAGGAAACACCAAATGGTACATTTCTATTTGTAAATGTAAGACATTTATATTTAAATTGGAAAGCAGGCATCCATGCGCAGAGCTCATTGACTAGAACCGTCTGCGGTAACTGACCACCTTGCTGGCCACCTGGACCCCAGGCACTCAGCCCTGCCAGGAGCCAGTGGGAAACGGCAAACGTGCCTGGTGCTGACGGCACCATCATTGTGGCCACAATCCAAGTGTTAATGACACAGTTGCTGCATGGGTGAATAACATGGACGTGTGACTTTACCTTCAGAGAGACCGCTGGGTGAACTCAGGTGAAGTTCAGACACTAAGATAGGAAGGCCTGCATAGCATCAAAGGGAAGGGGGCCTGGGCAGTTTCAGATCACACAGCCCAGGAGTGGGGCCCCAGCTCTAGGGCTCAGGAGCTCTGTGACCTTAGCAAGTAACATAACATCTCTGGGCTTCAGTTTCATTATCAATAAATGAGAGCAATAACACTGCCTTCTAGGACTGTCTCAAGTTTCAAGGAAATACGTAAGTGGAATGTGGAAGAGATTTCAAGACACAGCAGGGACTGGGGCAGTGACAGGTCTATTATTCCTGCTGTCACCACCCGAGAGAGCAGACACAGGACACTGCGTGGGCGTGGCCAGATAGGACTGGTCACACCACCCCATCCCACAGCAGAAACATGAAGAGGCAGCCCCCGTCAGGAAGAGAAGGCCATTCCCCACGGAGGCTGCCATCTGGGCCTCAGCCAGTGCTCAGGAAGCATTGTCGGAAGGAGGGTTTCAACCAGACTCGTGGTTAACAGATTTAGTCTGTACCCAACAGCAGTGAAGGCAGAAGGCAAAATAAGAACCAGCATCAAAGGTGCCCAGGTTCCAATCCCCAGAACCTGTGGATGTGTTGCCTCACGTGGCAAGGGGAACGAGGGTTGCAGGTGGAACTAAGGTTGCTAATCCAACGATGACAACAGGAAATGACCCTGGATTAGCCAGTGAGCACGACACAATCCTAGAGTCCTTAAAAGTGGGCGGGGCAGGCAGGAGAGTCGGCAGAGTGACATCCCGTGAGAAAGACTCAAACCCCATGGCTCACTCTGAAGACGGAGGAAGGGCGACAAGCCAAGGAACTGGAAAGGACAAGGAGCAGATCCTCGGCCAGGGCCTCTAGCAGGAACACAGAGCTGCTGACGGCTTGCTTTCAGCCTGCCAGACCCACGTCAGACTTCTGACCCCCAGACGTGAGGAGAAATCAGTGTCACCTTGAAGACTAAGTCTAAGCTGATTTGTTGTGGCCACAATAAAAAAACAATTCAGGACGCTTAGAGGATGCTCCTTACTGGAGCCCCTAAGACTCACTGAGATGTAAGAAGCAAGGAGAACTGGAAGGCAGCCAAATGACGGTGCTGTGCCTGGGGTTCCCGCGCCTGGGGTTCCTGCGCCTGGGGTTCCCGCGCCTGGGGTTCCCACGCCTGGCATTCCCGCGCCTGGGGTTCCCGCGCCTGGCGTTCCCGCACCTGGCGTTCCTGCAGGTTCCCGGCCAGGCTTTGAACTCTTTAGTGAGCGCAAAGGGCCTCTGGCCCGGCCAGCACTGGGAGACGACTGCCTGGGTCAGCTGTGCCCTCAGGGAGTGACACTGGGGACAGCCCCCAGAGCCTCCGCTAGGGGAAGCCAGGCAGGCCACTGCCTCAGTGAAGGCACAGGTTAACACAGTCTTGAGCCGAACAGGAGGTGCTGGGCACAGGCAGCCGCAACTCACCAGGTAGGACAAACGTGGAAACAGCACTCACAGAACCCCCAGCTCCGGAACCCAGGAGGGGGCCCAGGTAAGACAAGCGTGCAGTTGAGCCACTGCCTTCCACCCAGCAGCACTTCCAAGTCTAGAAAGTCAAATGCCAACGCATGCAGCCAGCACTCTCTGTGTTTCTCTCCCTCTCTCTCTCTCTTCGTCTGTCTCTCTCTCTCTCTCACACGCAGGCACGCATGCACGCAGGCACACACGCAGAGCACACATGACATCTCCTAACAAGGGCAGGCACGGCAGCCGCCGTGGCACAGAACACAAAAAATGCCTACAAGGCACTGAGAATTTTTCTTTCCTCGGACATGGAAAATGAGCCGAGTCGGACCTGCCGCTTGCTGGGGGATTTCTCCCAGGTGGATTTCAAGTGACAGGCTCTGGACTCCACATTGTCACAACTCTCTGAGGGCAGGACCGCGAAAAGCTCAGATTGCCAACTTCACTTAGAAGGACGCCAAGGCCCTCCCATGATCCCGGACAGCAGGGAGGATGGGCCCTGGGGAGAGGATCTCTGGAGTGACAGCTCCAGGTACCTGGGGCTGATGTGTTTTCTAGAAATAGTGGGCCAATTCAGGGATAAGCTTGGAGGCCTCCTGAATTTGGCCGTCCAAAATACGGCGTTTAACGGGCAGGACTTTTAGGCCCCGAAGGAGCTGCACTGGTGCCAGTGAGACCCAAGCGCCTGCCCGGCTGAGACAGAGCAGCAGTGGCAGTTAAGGACAAATGGTGAGCTTTCATATATTTGAACTTTAACAGGAGTAAGAAATGCTGGCTCTGGACATTCATTCCTGTGACTGCCATCATCTTTGGACCTGACTTGCAATGGTTAGCCTTTAAGACTCAATTTCTCCCAGGGGACTAGCTAACAGAAGCAGATTTATGTTAAAACGTAGTGCATACTGCGTGTTGCATGTTTATGTCATGTCATTTAACCTCGTGGAGGAATTCCGATGAGCCTGGCAGAACAATACAGCTGCACAGAATTAAGGGTGAGAAACCAGAGAGCAGTGTGGCAGCCTCCAATCCAGCGAGGCCTGATGATTACTTAATGAATGTCCTATTCCAAGTAATTCCAGAAGCGTGGGGAGGACAGTGAAACCACCCCACTGGTCTGCCCCGAGGGACTGCTACCTCTTCCACTCCAAGGGAGGCCACGCCCCTGGCTGGCCAGGGCCCTGACGGTTCCGTGAGTAACAAACAGGCCTGGGCTCCGCTTCCACGCGGAGGGAGCACAGTGGGTGCCTCTCCTGTACTTGCTCTATCCCCAGAAATGCTCGCTCTACGGAGGCTAAAACGGGGAGAGGCGAAGGTTCCCGGAGGCTCCAAAGCAGTGGGGCAGGGCCCAGCCCACCGCAGGGGCGCTGATGGGATGGGTGGGCCTGACGGGTCCTGGCATCGGTCAGCCACTTTGTGTGGCTCTCCCACTAAGACAGGATTTCAGGCTCTCATTTAGCAGAGATAAAAGTTATTCTTTGGCCTCCATCTGCCACTATTTTATTTGTTTATATGTTGAAAACCCAGGTAGGAAAGATAGGTTCTCAGAAATCCAAACAATAAGAATGACGCCTGAAAGCCAATAAAGAAAATGTCTGCATTTTGGAAGGGAAAAGGTCTGCATTTTGAAAGCCCTGCCAAGACTGACAGCTGCGGCCGGGGCATTCTGGCTTCAGGCTGGGGGCAGAGAAGACCAGCCTTCTGAAGGCTGCAAGCAGATGACAAGCCCCATCCCCAGAGGGTGAGGCACCAAGGCTAAGGCATGAGGGTCTGTCTGGGCCATCGTGGCTTGCGGAGGGAGCCCAGGCTGCAGAGGGCCCTGCTCAGCAGCCAGAAAGCCTTCCGGGGCACTTTAAGGAGACAGACACCATGGCCAAGGAGTCCAGCACCAGGCGGCTGGGGAAAGGAGAGAGAGAACACCCCACGGCCCTCGCAGCAGCCTGACCTGGGGAGGCACTGACCGCCCAGGCCTTCCTAGGGGACTGCTGCCCACAGGCTCCACCAAGGCCCCTGGGCAGACCACGGGCTCCGTCTGCTTAAGGCCCGGAAAGCAGATTTGCCCTTGGGATACCCCAGCCCAGCACCCCACCTCACACACTGGCACGCAGAACACCTGTGCTGGTGAACATGCACCCAGGCAGCAAACCAGGAATTCAGCAAGAATCCTGCACACTTACAAAAATGTCATTAGTAATAGCATCATTCCCTTCGTAAAAAGTGAGCATGCGTATCCTTCAGATGGAGACCTTGAGTCTTTAAAAAAGGATATAATTTACAAAATGTGTGCATCAGAGGAAAGAAAGGAAGGGCTGAAGACAACAACGGCCTTTTGTGAAATGTTTTACAGAACGTAAAGTCTGTGAATATACGTTTTTAAATACCCTCAGCTTGCCTTATACCTGTTGCCATTACAACATCACACTCTCCCGATAACAAGTAACACTAGCTGCACTTTTTGGAAGAAAAGTAGCATCAAATTTTCTCAGGGAGCATTTTAGAGAAGAGTTGAACTATAAATTCCCATCAGCTCAGCTGGAAGAACCCACAGTGAAACCTGCCAGCACATGGAGAAGTTAGACTCGCTCCTGCCTCTCTGATAAACGGCTCTTCCACCTGGACCAGGGCTCCGCCTCCCCATTAAGTCCAGTCTCCTCTTTCCAGGCTAATCTCACGGTAACACAGTGTCTTCCCCTCGCTGAAACCAAATGTGCCTTCCATGCCCAGGCCTTGGCCTGCCTCTGAAACAGCTCAGGAAGTCCTCTGTGCAAGAAATGGCCTGAGAGGGACCCAGGAGGTGGAGGATGTGGTGAGCCAAGATTGAGCCACTTGCACTCCAGCCTGGGCTACAGAGTGAGACTCCATCTCCAAAAAAGAAATGGCCTGAGAGACTTCCATTTCCCTGGACTCCTTTTTTTTTTTTTTCTGAGATAGAGTCTCGCTCTGTAGCCCAGGCTGGAGTGCAATGGCACAATCT